TTTCAAATATAGTAATTAGTGTTTTTGTTTTCTTTTGATAATTTATAGTCACTAAATAAATATCTTTTTTTCAAATTACTGTTTTATATTTTTTATGTGATGCATGAATTATTTTACATAAGACGAAAAACAAATAGACTTGCAAATATAATAATTATAAATATGATTTATATGTATTAATCTCGAATATAAAATAAAATCATGGCAAAAAAATCTAATTATAATATGTACACTAGATTTTGACCCACGCCAAGTGTGGGATTAAATGAATAAATATATTTTAATATATAAATGTGTCTGACAAATCATATGATTTTTTATATTTATAAACTTACAAATTGATATGCATTGTGGATAAGTATAATCAAGTTAAATTTTAATCAAGCATATTTCGATGCCATCAATTTTAATATTTTTATGTGCAATTGATCAGAACATATAAAAATGTTATTTATTTCAATATATTTAAGTGTAAAATTAATTTTTATTATTCGTGTAAATTATATAGCATAAGATAAATTTTAGATTTATATAAATTTGTCGGACATAATAAACGAAAAACAATATATATTTTCCAATAATGAAATGTGTAAATATTTTATATATCATATTAATCTAAATACATATATACACAATAAATAATATAATAATAAAAAGTTTTTAAAATATAAAAAAAATTTTAAAAATAGATGATATGGTAAATCTAAAATTACATTTAGTTGGACTTGCAAAACATGTAGTAATGGGTTTATGCTATAAAATTAATAAGAATATGTAGAATTAATTGACATGTTTTCATTGGTTAATTTGAATGACATGTTCCTTGAAACTCTCATTGAGTGACACATAGGATTTTTACCTTAGTGTCTCCTCAATTAATATATAGAGGATAATAGTAATCATTTGTAACCATTAGTATTTTTCATTATTTTAAAATTTTCATTTTTAATGGTAAATATGTTGCTAAAGTTAAATTTGAATAACTCTATCACATCTTAAATTTCATAAATTAATAATTTTGAAACGGATGTTGACTTTTGAAATTTGTTAATTATGCTTCCAAAATAGTTCTATATATGGTACAATAAAATATAAATCTATATATATCTGACCAATGTCAAGATTTTAGATGAATCTTTGTATACATCAAATTCTCTTAGTTATAATTTTTTCTATATTGGTTTCTTACTAATTCAACTTTGATTTTTCTTTTCAGCTTATTCAACTTTAATGAATAAGGTAACAATCAAAATAATATGTAAAGTTGATATCTGGTCAGAACGGATATAAATTGAATTTTTTTAATTAATGAGCATCTTTGACTTGCAAATTAAACCAGTTAGCAATACAATAAAAAAATGGTTATACAAAATGAATTGAATCTAAAAAAAACCGTTTACAAACATTAGAAACATAATCCATTATTACTAGCACACCAAGTACCCTAAACCCAACTTTAAAAACTCTCTCACCAAATCATTACAAACCAACATCAACCCAAATTCAAAGTCAGTCTCCAAAATTAAGTCAATCCTTCCAATTGCACCATCAAATTAATGCAAAAATTAGAAGAAAAAAATAGCTTTCTTTTAAGAGCAAATTGGACATAGAACCAAACCATGTTTTGACTTGAATTTACTATTTTAAAAAAGTTAGTTTGTTCGGTTACACTCCAAATCCATAACCTTGAATTTGCTATTAAAAAACAATTGTTTAACCATGAAAAAAAATTAACGAGAAAAATAAACAATTGTTTGGTTTAACCATAATTAAACATTTATAATAATATATCACATTACAAATATGACAGAAGCACAACCGAACAAACTAACTTTTTGACAATAGTAAATTC